CTCTGGTACACGGTATTGCCACAGTAACGTTACATGCCCTAAAACACCCATACCGCGGTATTTTAAGATGTGCATGCATGTCTCTATCAGTAAACATGCAGCCGCTGCTGCTGAGATTATAAGCAGGTTACAAGACCTAATTTAGTTCAGCTCTATTGAGCACTCACTGTTTGGACAAACCAAAATTAGCGACGCTTCCCCGTTTCAGAAAACACTCTTCAATCGCGCGAATTTTCTAATAGTTTAATACTAAACCCAGCGCTTTTAGCCCCGTTAGCAAACTGCAGCTAACCCGCTCATGTAGCCTGTTAGCTCTCGCCTGCTAACCAACAGCTCAAAACAGCAGCGGAGAAATGCAACAGGCCTCATGTGTGCCCTTCGTGGCGCGCAAGACAGAGCTGAGGCGAGGACAGCAGGATAAAGTGTATTTCTTTAATGCACAGCGAGATATTTCGCAGAGCGCGGAGAGCGGGAGGTGTCGCCTGTCTGAGGGGGTTATATTACCGTGTGAATGAGGAGTTCTCGTGTTGTTTGTGAGGATCCGATAATGGCGTCCTTCCTCGCGAGAGAAAAGCCCGAGCCCCTCGCTGCTCTCACTGCGCATGCGCACAGAAGGTGGCGGCTGTTCTACGACAGAGAAATAAAGAGTTTTACAGTATTCAGGTTTATGATTTCTCTTTTTATGGAAATACTCTGGGAGAAATCGACAAAGCCATGAATTTTTGCACATGTACAATGCAAATGCCCTTATTTTTATTCATAGCACATGTCATGAATGCTCATTTATCCATAACAATATCTTGCCATTCTGACTTTACTTCCATTCAAAGCACACATACACATCTATCCATCTAATCTATTCTTAATTATCACTCACCTTTGTACATGAATATGGTAATCATTCAGAACAGAATATTTCAGATTAAAGGGGCTAGATTACTGACAAATAATTTCAGAAGTTTCCTCAGATTCCTGTAAATTTAAAGGAATATTTCAGCCACAAATGAGAATTTGCTGAAAATGTGCTCATCCTCAGGCCATCCAAGATGTAGATGAGTTTGTTTCTTCATCAGAGAAATGTAGCATTACATCAGTTGTTCACCAATGGATGCTCTGCAGTGAATGGGTGCCGTCAGAATGAGAGTCCAAACAGCTGATAAAAACATCACAATAATCCACAAGTAATCCACACCACTCCAGTCCATCAGTTAATGTCTTGTGAAGCGAAAAGCTGTGTGTTTGTAACAAACAAATCCATCATTACAACCATTTTTTATTAACTTCAAACTGTTGCTTCTGGTTAAAATGTGAGTCTTCTATCGATAATATTGATTTCTCCAGTGAAAAAGTTATCTTGTGATACACCATTAAATCCAATGATGGATTTGTTTCCAAACATGCAGCTTTTCAACAAGATGTTAAGTGTTGGACTGGAGTGGTGTGGAATATTGTGATGTTTTTATCAGCTGTTTGGACTCTCATTCTGACGGCACCCATTCACTGCAGAGGATCCACTGGTGAGCAACTGATGTAATGCTAAATTTCTCCAAATCTGTTCTGATGAAGAAACAAACTCATCTACATCTTGGATGGCCTGAGGGTGAGTACATTTTCAGAAAATGTACATTTTTCAATTTCTTTAGATAATAAAAAACATTATATTTCATTATATTAAATATTATATATTAAATAAATAACAAGATGAAATTGTACTGAAAAAATGATCTTTAATGATGATAAATTATATCATTTGAAGAGCTTTTGGTCTGGGTCGGGTTGAACGACAATAAATTCTTCCACTGGAACCGTTGATCCAGATTTCCAACAGCTGTTTCTACAAGTGTACACAAGAACTGTCCCGAACTCCAACGAAACGTCTGAGAAAACAAAAACAAATCAAATCTTAGAATATAAACATAAAAAATATATATTAAGATGTACAGTC